GCACCCTCCCGGCGCGCACGCCGGCCCGGGACCCCGCGCGCACACTGGCGGGCCGGGCGGGGACTCGCGGGACGCGCACTCCCTCCCGCGCGTGCAGCACACGCCGGGCTCCGCGCCGGCTCTCGGGGCACGCGCAGGTGTGCAAGGGCACCGCAAGCACACGCAGACGTCTGCAGACACACTGGGTGGAAGCGTCCACGCTCGCACCTGCAGGGCGCACGCACACAGACATGAACACGCACAGAGTTGGTTAGGGATGCTGGGACACAGCACACCCCAACACACACGCGTGATCAAGGGTACTCCGGCACAGCCTTCCATGCCCTGAGCACCCTTCACAAGGCGCACAAACAAATACCCACAGACGTGACCAGGAGATCCTGCGCACATCCGCACTTCTCCCCCATGCAGCAGGACACGGAGTCACACTCCGGGGAGTGCAGGGACAGGCTTCTCACATGTGCACCCTCAACTTCAGGCACAGTCTCTGCATACTTCCTGTCAGGTCACACATAACACACGGGTCTAACCTCGAATCCTGAGTGGTTTGAAGGGCCCGCAGGACCTCGTGGGCGAGAACATGAACCAGGGCTTAGTTGGGAGGCCATACAGACTGGCAGGCAGAGGAGACCTTCCCGGGAGTGACGCATGAGGCAGAGGTGGAAAGCCAGGGCGTCACCATGCCTCTCCAGGCCAGATGACGAAACAAATCCCAGTCAGCCCTGCACCGGCTATTGTCGGGTTATCCTGGAACAGAGCTCTGTGGGGAACGGCTGCTGCTTGTACAGGTGTGTCCCAGGAAGGCCCTGGACATGGATGGAATCCTGTTTACTCTCTGGTTTCCACTAACTTGCCAAAGACACTGATCTTCTTGGCTGGTCCCTTCCGTGAATCTGAATGAGGGGCCCCAAGCCTGCCTTGTTCCCCCACTATAACCCCTGCAGAAGGTTGGGGAACAGAGAAAAGAGAGGAGAGGCCTCACCCTCACCGCTTCCAGTTACATCATTTTGGCAGGTTATTAGATCTCTCTGAACCTCAGTTTCCTCATCTGTGAAATGGGGCTGATTCCAACCCACATGGCATTATGGCAAGACCCCACCTAGCACAGAACATGACAGGTAAGAGGTGCTCAACAGAATTGGCTTTCTCGTCTCCCTCCTGTTGGGAAGATGAGACTCACGGATGAGGAATGATGTTGTTCTACAGTTAGTCCTGAGCTGGGTGTTGGCAGTCACCACTCACCCTGAAAACACTGGAGTAACACATGGTATATGTTATACTGTGCCGAGAACAGCTGTCATCTCATTGATCCCACTACCTCATGATGTAGGCAAGGCATACTGCTCCCATTTTGCAGGGGAGGAAATTAAGGCTCAGACACAGCCTAGCGTGACTGCTGGCTGAAGGCAGAGCTCTGATCAGAACCCAGGTGTCCTGACTTTCTGATGCTTCTATTTTCTCTTTCCCCACCTTCTCCACTTTCCCTACAGAGCTCCAGGGGACTGAAAGCAGAGTTGGAATCACGGGTAGTAAAACCTTGTTCCTCAAAGCCCCTCCTGAGGCTTCTTGGGTAGGGATGGTCCAAACTGTGGAGGGGGAGGAGGGGGGAGGGAAGGGAAGGGGCCACGTGCCTCAGAGATCGCAGTGGGAACAAACCAGCCTGAGGCTCCCTAAGGACAGTCCGGGGTCCTGGTGGGAGAAACATTCAGCCTTCTAAGAGCCAAAGGCCGAAGGAAGGACAGAAGAACCTGAAAGGACGGCCTGGCACAGTGGGGTTCTCATTTCCAGGAATGCTTAAGGGGATTAATCCTTAAATAGGCACAGGGTGACTTATTTCTGTGCCAGAGGTGGCGGTATCACAAAACGATTATATAATAATACGGGTATTAAAATACAGACACTGAATTATCATCTTATGATTCCTTCACGGAGAGCAGGAGGGTGTTGTCATCATCTTACAGATGGGGAAACTGAGGCTTCAGGAGGCCACATAACTAGCAAGAGACAGACGGGACGAGAGCCTGTCCCTTTTAGCAACAAGGTCCCAGGCCTGTGCTCATGGGAACTGACTGCCCCTCCTGGCCTCCTGACCTGTGGGGCTAGCTTTTTGGAGGATCCGTTTCATAGCTCTTGGCCCTGCAGGAGCTGGCTCTTGGGGAGGGTCTGGAAGAAGTGGGCTGGAAGACTCAGTTTCCAAAGCATGGAGCCAGGGAACCCCAAGATGCCCACTGGGGAAACGTGTGATGCACTTGGAGCTAGAGTCTCGAAAGAGCATGATTCGGGGAGTAGACAGACTTGGATCCAAAAGTCAGTGTCTGCCATCTTCTCACTGTCTGATATAGGGCAAGTTGCTTAACTCAGACCGTCTCACCTGTGACATTGGGGAGACTAAGAACATCCTTGTGAGGACTGAAGGTGAGGATGGATATAAAGTGCTCAGCACAGTGCCTGGCATGCACTCAGGGAACTGTGATTCTCTTGCCTCTGCCTTCCTGCTGCAAACTGTCACCGTATGCTCTGTGCCCACCTTGATTTCTCTACCAGTGAAATGAGTTGTCTGCTCTTCTGTCTGCTGCTAGGACAGGTGAGGACGCTGGGCAGGAAGCGTGTTGAGAAGTGGACGTGCTTACCAAGGCTGGGCGCCGGCTGGCATGTGCGGGGATTTGGAAGCAGCTGGACGCGTCAGGAGTCCATCAATCATGCTGCCTGCCGTTCCCCATGCTGGGGTGGGCAGCTTGGCGGCTGGACCAGCCCTCGGCAAAGTTAAGTGGGACGAGCATGCCCTTGGTTGCAGCCCTTGGGTAGCCCTCTCCTACCTGTTTCTCTCAACAAGCTTCAGAGCTCTCCCTGGACTCCCACAGACCCTCTCAAAGGCTCCTGTCCAATGGGGTAGAAGTGGGTGCCTCAAAGGGTGCTGCAGGTGTACCATGTCTATTAAGAATGCAGATTCTGGACCAGATGCAGTGGCTCATGCCTGTAATTCTAGCACTTTGGGAGACTGAGGCCGGAGGATTGCTTGAGCCCAGGAGTTCAAGACCAGCCTAGGAAACATAGTGAGATCCTGTGTCTACAAAAAATAAAAAAGTTCAGCTGGCTGTGGTGACACATGCCTGTAGTCCCAGCTACTTAGGAGGCTGAAGCAGGAGGATCCCTTGCGTCTAGGCGGTTGAGGCAGCGGTGAGCTGAGATCATGCCAGTGCACTCCAGCTTGGGCGACAGAGTGAAAAAAAAAAAAAAGAATACAGATTCTGAGTCCCCACCTCACATACCCCGACTCTGATTTTTTGCTTGTTTGTTTTTGAGACAAGGTCTCACTCTGTTGCCCAGGCTGGAAGCACAGTGGCATGATCTTGGCTTATCACAGCCTCTAACTCCTAGGCTTAAGTGATCCTCGTGCTTCAGCCTCCCGAGTAGCTGGGATAACAGGCTTGCACCACCATGCCTGGCTACTTTTTTTATTTTTTGTAGAGATGGGAGTCTCACTTTGTTGCCCAGGCTGGTCTTGAACTCCTACCTCAAACAATCCTCCTGCCTTGGTCTCCCAAAATGCTGGGATTACAGGTGTGAGCCACCATGCCTGGTCCTGACTCCGAATATGTGTGTACAAACTCAGGATGCGTCTTACCAAGCACCCTTGATGATTTTTATGCATAACGAAGGTTGAGAATTGCTGGGTTAGAAGGTGCTAATGGTTTAACACAGTGATTCTCAGTCCCTTTGGCTGCCTCTGCCCCGTTCACATGCATAACACTCACCCATCGACGGCATCGCTAACATTTAGCGGTTCTTAGCTGAGGAAGTGAGTGCCTGACCCAAGGGAGTTTTGGAATTTCTGGAGGGGTTTGACAGAGCTACACTGGGGAGTCTGATCTACCCCAGCTTGGGTGCTGTGACCGCTTTCCTGGCTGAGAAGGACTGGTTAACATCTTTCCTTAGCATAGGTGACATGCATTTTTGAGGAAATGACCTTTGTGCGGCACTGGGCCGGTTGTACCTCAGGTGGCATCTTTGGTTGGTGTCCATGTGCCCTCCCTGACCCCACCTAATCTGCACCCCCAGTTTCCACTCCCCCCCAGTTACTGGGAGAGCTCTTGACCTGCCATATTGATGGAATCTTCTCTGTGTTGAACCCAACGGAGGGGCTCGGATGGAGGAATCCTGAGCACTGCTGCTGGTGGGTGAAGAGGGGCCTCCTAGGGGCTCTTGTCCATTCATTTATTCATGGATCCACTTCTCAAAAAATACGTATCGAATGCCTACCTCGTAACGGGCCCCGAGCTGCCTTCTGCAGGGGGCCCAGTGATGAATGAAGCCCTATTTTCCTTTAGATTCCAGTTGACAGAGGGTGAACCAGGAAGAATGTAGAAGCCAGCCACGCTGGGGATACTCTGCCTCCTCCTTTGTACATGCCTGGCCTCAGTGTGGGAAGCGTGGCGGAGTGCTGATGCCAGCAAGTCAGTGTGTTTGCAATATAGCTCGTGGCTGCTGAGAGGCAAACTTGATATATTAAGCGATATTAAAAATGTAGCTATTTCTGATAATTTATTATTCACATTCTCATAAACACATTACACTCGTCACAGTACATTTACCAGCACCAGGCCTACCAGTGGGGAAAAGTTAACACTTACCTAATGATGTCGTTTTGTAGATGTCAAATGCTCTGGAGCTGCGCTGATGGGCTGAACAGTGCCAAGACATGCAAGTTTTTTCTCCCTCCTGGGACACCAGGGGACTGTCCAGGGACACTGGGGACTGCGCTTCTTCGCTCTGCCAAGGTCTGGGCTGTACATTGGAAAGAGGCTGGGTGAGAGGCTCACCTGCCAGAAGGGACTTAGCCCGGGATCAGGCTGCCTTTGGCAGCAGATTAGATGTCACAGAGGGATAATGCTGAATCCTCCCAGGAAGCTCCAGAAATGACCCCTGCGAGGACAAGGCACACTTAGGTGACAGCATGGATGAGCCACCTCATTGCCCCACAGGCCTGAGGACTGCTGGAGCTCAGGGTCTTGGTTCAAGTGGTCTTCGGGACTGGGTGAACATCGCAGCATTATAAATGGATTTGAATGAGCAGGAATTCTAGCAAGCTTTTTTTTTTGTAGAAACGAGATCTTGCTGTGTTGCCCAGGCTGGTCTCAAACTCTTGCCTCCCACCTATGCCTCTCAAAGTGCTGGCATTGCAGGTGTGAGCCGCCACACCTGGCCTCTATCCAGAAATTTTGAAGCCCATGGCCAATATGTTCCCTCTAACCGCTTTGATATAATGATACAGTTCAAAGTACTATCAATGCAAGTGGTAGCTTCCAATGATAACCAGTTCCACTTTAAAAACATATAAACTATTTCAGCCATAAAAAAAGGCCTAGAGCATAATGGAAAGAATGTCTGTACCCACCAAATATCTTAAAAATAAATCATTACAAGCTCTTCAAAAGGGTAAACATAGAATTACCGTATGACCTAATAACTCCACTCCCTAGTTTTAGACCCAAAAGAATAAAGATCAGAGACTCAAAACAGATACACCAATGTTCATAGCAGCACTATTCACACTCGCCAAAAGATGGGTACAACCCAAGTGTCCTCAGCAGATAAATAAAGCGCGGTATATATAGACAGCCACATGAAGGAATGAAGTTCTCATACGTGCTACAAACTGAACAACCCTGAAAAACACGCTAAATAAAATAAGACACACAAGCACAAAGATTTTATGACTCCACTTATGTGAAATGTCTAGAATAGGTAAATTTATAGAGACAGAGAGTAGATTCGAAGTAGCCAGTGCTAGAGAAAGGAGCAGTGGGAAGTTATGTCTAATGGGCACAGTTTCTGTTTGGGGTGATGAAAAAAAGTTTTGGAAATAGTGGTAACAGTTGCACAATGTTGTGAGCATAATTTGTACCATTGAATTATACATACAAAAATGATAAATGGTGCATTTTGTTATCTACTTTATCCCAATTTAAAACATTACAAATGCATTTAAATTCCCCCAAAATGACATTCCTCTCCCAGCCCATTGCTTTCCACAGAGGCAAGCGCTATCTGAATTTTGTAGTTATCACTCCCTGAACTTAATTTTCATTTGCAACATGCGTGTGCACCTATAAACAATATATTGTGTTGTTTTGCATGCTTTAGCACTTTTCATAAGTGGTCTCATACTGTACATATCCTCATTCAACTTGTCTTTGGACTTATTGTGACGTTTATTCCTGCTGCCGCATCTACCTATAGTTTCTTTGTTTTCATTGCAGTATACTATTCCACTATGTAAATATCCATTACGATTTCATTCTCTTTTCTTCTGTTACTAGATGTTTAGGTTGATTCCTACCCTTTGCTATTGCCAGTGTGCTGCAATGGCTATCCCTGTTTCCTTGGCCCACATGTGGGAGAGTTTCTTCTTCTTCTTCTTTGAGATCTCACTACTTTTTAAGGAGTCTCACTGTGTTGCCCAGGCTATACTGCAATGGCTATTCACAGGCATGCTTATAGCACACTACAGTTTTGAACTCCTGACCTCAAGCAATCCTTTTACTTCAGCCTCCTGAGTAGCTGGAACTACAGGTAGATGTCACCACACCCGGTTCAGGAGAGTTTCTTTAGAGTGTCCTGGACAAGGAATTTCTGGGCCAAAGGACTCTATCTTTAGCTTCACCAAAGAGGGCCAAACTGCTCCCCAAATGTCCATTCTCACCAACCATCTATAAAATCTCCAGGTCCTCCACATTTTATCAACACTTGTTATTGCCAGATTTGAATTTTTCCTAGTGTGGTAGGTGTGAAAGGATGTCTTCTTATGTTTAATTTGTTCTCCTTGCTAATTAAGTGCTATTTCATTTTTGCTACTAAGGGCAGGCATGCACTGTCAAGAGATAAATGTAACAAATTAAAAACAGAAGAGTTTCTATCAGTAAGGGATTAGCTAAATACAGCATGATTCCCCTGTACTATGGAATATTATGTGGCCATTAAAAAGGATGTGGTAGCTCTGTGTGCATTGATATGGAAGATGTGTTGATCTTTTGATGTACCAAAGATCTCTTTTTTTTTGCATTATCATTTCAATAAATGTTTTTTATCATAAAGATGTGGGGCAAAGATCTTTTAATCACTCAGATTTATTGTTAAATAAAAATGTAAGAGGCATAAAAACAGTGTGTTTCCTTTATGTATAAATAAAAGAATATGCACACACATGTCTATTTTTATATACTTGCACAGACTATCTCTGAAAGGATAAAGAGGAAATTGATAACAGTAGTTCATCTGGGAAGGAAACTCGGGAACAGGGAAAATGCTCTGCTTGTGCATTTTTATCACCTATTGATGTATTACTTGGTAGAAAAAAAATAAGCCCTAGAATAGGCAACTTCACAGAGACAGAAAGTAGAACTGAGATTCCCAAAGGCTTAGGGGTAGGGGAAGAGGCTTATTACTTAATAGGTGCAGAGTTTCTGTTTGGGATGGTAAAATTCTGGAAGAGGATAGTGGTGACGGTTGACAACATTGTGATTGTACTTAGTGCCACTGAACTGTACACTTAGGAATGGCGAAAATGGCACATTTTATATTATGTCTATTTATCACAATAATAAGTAGAAAAAATATGTCCTCAATGAAGACACATTATTTTTTTGAGTTGGAGTCTCACTCTGTCGCCCAGACTAGAGCGCAGTGACATGCTCCCAGCCACCGCCGCCTCGACCTGCTGGGCTCCCGTGATCCTCCCGCCTCAGCCTTCCACGTAGTTGAAACTACAGGCACGTGCTACCACGCCGGCTGATTTTTTTTCACTGATTGTAGAGACAAGATCTCGCCCAGTTGCCTGGGTGGGTCTCAAACCTGCAAGCTCAGGCAATTCACTCGCCTCGGCCTCCCAAAGTGCTTGGATTACAGGCTGAACCACCAAGCCTGGCCGAAAACACATTTAAAAAAATTTATGGTTTATTTGAAGAATAATAATTACTTAAGATTTTGTCTAGCCAGGTGTGGTAGCATGCACCTGTAGTTCCAGCTACTTGGAAGGCTGAGGTGGAAAGATCGTCGGAGCCCAGCAGGTTGACGCTGAGGTAGCCGTGAGTGTGCCACTGCACTCCAGCCTGGGCGATGGAGTGAGACTCTGACTCAAAAAAAGAAAAGAAAGCTGGGCTCGGTGGCTCAGCCTGTAATCCCGCACCTTTGGGAGGCTGAAGTGAGTGGATTGCCTGAGCCTGCAGGTTCGAGACCCGCCTGGGCAACTTGGCGAGACCTTATTTCTATAATAAATCAAAAATTAGCCGGGTGTGGTAGCGTGCGCCTGTAGTTCCAGCTACTTGGAAGACTGAGGCGGAAGGATCGCCGGAGTCCCAGAGGTCAAGGATGAGGTGGCCGGGAGCGGCCACTGCCCTCCCCTCTGGGTGACAGAGTGAGCCTCCAACTCAAAAAAAAAAAAAAGAAAAGAAAAGAAATAAAAGACTTTGTCCCTCTCTGAATCTCTGACTCCTGTGATTTTTTTTTTTTTTTTTTTTTAAGATGAGGATCTCTTTCTATTTCCCTGGCCAGCCTCAAACTCTTGGCCTCAAGCAATTTTCCTGAGGGACTGGGTCCACGAGGCAGGACTATCCACAGGAGGAGAGCCATGACTTCCTGGGACCTCTCACAAGGTGGAGATGCCCACTTCCGAGGTCTGGCTTTGGGTGAGCACTGCCTGACTCCCCATTGACCCGGTAGCCTGGGTGTCCCATGGAGCTCTGAGCTTTTGCAGCTCTCACCCTTCCTTC